AAGTTGGATAGGTAGATAGATCAAAGGCCACCTCATCCTTCTAATTGTTGAGATCGAAACCTCGGAGGCGTCCCTGACTCCTTTTTTTCTCTCTCACATCCCCTCTCTCAGCAAACCCTGCGTGCCCAACAGAATTTGACCTTTCTCATCACCTCCTCCCTCACCACCACCCTTTCCTCTCCAACTTCATATTATCTCAACCCCTTCCTACCCATCCAACACACTTCGCCTCCCATCCTCAGCTCTTTCTGCGCCCTGTAGTGGGAATGTGCACACGACAGATACTTGTACGGCCCAGTCTCTGTCTGTTATTCAGGAAGGCCTTCCCTGGCTATTGTAGCTAATATTTCTCATTCACATGTGCACGCACACATGCACACACATGCATGCACACACATGTGCGTGCACACAAACACACACACACACACACACTGATACTTCACACTCCTCCTTCCCTGTCTCATTATTCCTCCTCGGTCCCTGCCATCCCCTAACATGCTACATATCTCACTGATTTGTTAATTTATTATCCATATCTCCTGCTAGAATATAAGTTCCACAAAGGCAGGGCATTTTGCCTGTTTCATTTACCACGGCATTTTCATATCTAAAACAGTACTTGGCACATAAGTAGACACTCAAATATTTGTTGAATGAATGAATGAGTCAATGAATGAGTGAATGTAAAGTGCCTGAAATGCTGTAGATGCATAATAGTGGGTAATTATTAGCACCAAATAGGTTAATGAAAGATGCTTTCTTACTCATATATTGTAGATGCTGTAAAAAGTGGGTAAAAATTTTTAAGCGGAGCATAAATATGTAAAGTCATAAAAGTCACTGGCAGAACGAGCTATAATATAACTAATAAAAACAAAGAGGTGGAAGGAAGAAGTGTCTGGGGAAGGAATATATGTAAACAAAATTCATCTTATCACTAAGCATTGTTTAGCTTTTATAATTTAAGAAACAGCACTCTATGTTCATTTCTTAAAGCAGATGCCAGGCCTGGAAACTGGTCTTCAAATGTATTTTATTTGGTCCAAACATTATTTAGTTAGTTGCCAACTTTTGAAATTTGAGATATTTCCCTATAACTCCATATTTCTGCCTTTTCTTGACCAAGATAGGGCCACGCTAGGCCTGCATTCTGAAGTCCGGCCACCAGGTGGCGCAGAGTAGCAGCCTCTCCTGTTAGCCGTGGCTTGAACCCTTGGTTTGATACGGACCTCACTCAGCTTTTCATTCCTGGTATAAATATTTAACAGTAACAACCTAAAAAATAAAAGAATAATTCTAACAATAGTTGTGTTGAGGCAGTGAGGCTTGTGAGTGTTGGAAATA